AACAAGCGTGTGTGGTGATAGATAGATAGATAGATAGATAGATAGATAGATAGATAGAAAGAAAGAAAGAAAACGAAGATATCTATCCGACTCTATGCATATTTATCAATTTTAAATAATTTCTCTCCCCCTCTTTATCTTCTTCTAAATTTAACACTCTTTGACTCTCTCTTTCATTTTATCTATCTATCTATCTATCTATCTATCTATCTATCTATCTATCTATCTATCTATCTATCTATCAAGTTCTTGAAGAAAAATTTTGTCGTAAGCAACCTTATTCACAGTAACGTAAATTTATTAATATTTTATATACAATGTAATTGCATAATGTAGTCATTTTTGGACTACACTAGCATATATATATATATATATATATATATATATATATATATATATATATATATATATGTATGTATGTATGTATGTATGTATGTATGTGTCTGTGTGTGTGTGTGTATAATTCCGATTTGTTTAATGATTGCGTTTTAATTCGTTTGTTTGTTGTTTTTTTTTGTCCCCAAACCAGATCTATATTCAATAGTATCTTGAGAAAGTTTTTGTCTTTTGGCGTCTTATTCGCTGTCGATATAATCGAATCTCTTTTTGTTTTCTTCCTTTTCAAATCAATCTTCGATTCTTGGGTCTGATTGTCAATACACGCAACATTGGGCTCAAAAGTCCTTGAGCCTCGGCTTCGCGCACAAACATCACGCAAGCCACCATACTTAAACCGACCAGGAAGCTTCTGAAAACATTTTTAAATCTTTACCAAATATTGAAAATCGCTTGTAATTAACTGAGTTCCGATCGATCAGAGCAACGTTTGAAAAATTCGGCTAATGTTTAGATATATTTCGCAATCGATTGGCTTGTCCAAAAATGTTATGATATTCAAACAATGTTGAAGAAAATATCGCGTTTCGACGCTTGAAAGGACTTCATCAGTGTAAAATAATGTTCTTATTGAGAGCGATCTCATCTTCGCTTCAAAGACGTCTACAAAAGGGACATGAGGGCGATGAATATGGACGTCGAGAAGTGGAAAGATGGCGTCAATGATCGCTCACGCTGGAGACACGGTTCACACCGAGTGCTTGAGCGAGGAGAGGAGAAACGGAGGGTCACCGCCGGGGAGAAGCGTTCTCTCGGAAAGAAAACAACAACGCGACATCAGGGGAAAGCGTCTTCACATGCTTTCATTGCAATAGGGTCTGTCACTCCTGTGTGGGCCTGTACAGTCATAACAGATGCTGCACCGCCCTCAGCAACTGAGGCATAACTCTCCGTCCGCAGATCCAGGGGGTTTCTCGAGGCGGAAAAAATGCCACCTTCATTGATTGCATTATATATATATTACACCTGGTGAAAAATTTAAGACTACTTGAAATTTTTTTTAAAAAGACTGTTTTTCATGGAAAAAAAACATTTCTTACTTAAGGTTACTAATTCTATAATCTAAAAGGTTATGTAGACAAAAAGTTATAATCCGAACATTTTAATGAGAAATTGACATTTTTATAAAATGAGACGTCTTACACTTGATTAAAATTATAAGACCAGAGACAAAAATTCTACGAAATTGTACGAAAAGTGTACGAAAACATTCAACAACCAAATTTAATAATGAGTTCTACCTCCACTGGTTTTGATGACTTCAAAGATTCTTTGGGGCATGCTAGAAATTAGTGTTTCCATTAAGCTACAAAGAATATTGCTCCAGCTTCTGAAGATAGCTTCACGAAGTTCATTTTTGTTGAATATTGTTTGCCGTTTCAATAAACATCTTTTGCCATCCATCCCCAAACATTTTCAATTGTTTGCGCTTTTTATTTACCATGCCTTTTTGTCGTAAATGCCCTCTGATGGTTACTGAACTGCAATCAGCATCTGTGGCTGCCTTAATTTGAGTAGAAGAAAGTCCACTGGCTTTCACAACAACCCGTCTTATTCTTCTACTCAATGCCGGAGAAATATTTGGCGGGGGGCTATCAGTAGACTTTGCGTTTCCATAATTCGCACTGTCCTTTAGAAAGTTGCAAATCACAGTTTTATTGCGATTTACCTTTGCTGCGATCGCCCGCTGTGACAAAACTTGATTATGGAAATCTAGAATTCGAGAACGCTCAACTTCGGTAAGTTTACTTGCTTTAGGCATGGTGACACCTTTACGTAGTGATTGCTAACCTCTAACTGAACTAAAAACATTGGAATTACCCTCGATCTAACAATTTATACCCGCTGATCTTATAATTTTGAACAAGTGTAAAATACCTCATTTTATAAAAATGTCCATTTCTGAATAAATTGATCGGATTATAACTTTTGGTCTACATAACCTTTTAGATTATAGAATTAGTAACTTTAAGTAAGAAAAAGTTTATAATGTATCCATGACAAACAGTATCTTATAAAAAATTTTCAAGTGGTATTAAATTTTTGATCAGGAGTGTATGTTGTTTGATGAGCCAAACATCTAAACAAAGTCATCAGAGATATTTCGACTTGAAAGCACACCGAAAAATTGCTGTGTTTTCTCATCTTCAGCAACTTTATAAATAACATTTATCAGAAGTATCGTGTTAGGGCTTGGTTCCACAGAGCAGTGATTAGTGTGAAGAAGCTGTTCGTGTGGAACTTATCTCTCACCAAAGGAATGCAGATGGAATGATGGTATTTGGCTGCAATGTGCGTGGCAGGCTCGGTGTTAGCCGTGAAGGTTAGAATTGGTGGAATTAAGGAATATAGTTCGTCTGAGCACTTTCCATAGGAATAGCGATAGAGCATCGAGAGGCTTGCAACATTTCGTCTGTGGGGAAAGGGGTTGTAGGATGGAAAATAAATCATCAGTCACGCGGAGACACTTTTGGACTCTATCGAGATTGGAAAGTGAAGACTGGGCAACTCCAGCCAATATATGGCAGAAAATCCGCAAAGCAGCGACTGGCGGGAAGAAACTGTGGAACATTCATATCACCAGCTGAATACGAAAGGAATGAGCGTGGTTTGCTACAATGGGCGTGGCATGGTGGGTCTTAGTCGTGAAGGTAGGAACTGGGGGAACTAAGGAACACTTTCATTGGAAATAACAATAGAGCAGAGACAGAATTGCAACATTTCGTCTGTGGGAAAAGCAGTTGCAGAGCTGCTCGGCCCGGGGGTGGGCTAGGATCAAAGTGTAGTACGCTGCCTTTGTGAGCTTCCGAGTCGGCGTCTGTCGAACTCTCTGCATTAGCAGAGAGGAACCCGGACGAAGCTTTGCCGAAGGGTAAGGTTTCGTTCAGGGAGGTAGACAGGGCCTGAATCCGTCAAGGCGGGTTCAAAAAGGCTATATTTTTGGCCGAGCTTACGGGCTCGGGGATACCCACATTAAACCGGCCTTGTGCCACATTCTATCCTCGTGGGTGGATCGATAAATACTAAGCAGTTGCAGAGTGGAAAATAATTTGTCACCCAAAAGAACACGTTGAAAACTTTTATTTGTTTCTAACGACATTTTCTCGTTTCTTAATACTGTGTTTATATTTTGGAAGGCATCTTTCCCTATTCTAATGTGACTTCTGATTTCGGTGTCAACTATACTCCATTTTCGGCTTGATCTAGCTCTTGTAGAGGATAGCAGGAGGGGTCAGGTTGTTACTGGAGTGATACAGAGAACCGACCATTTTCCCGGCATCTTTAGCATTGGATCGTACGTATGAGTTCCACTTCACGTCTAAGGGCCCAATAGGCGATCAAGTAACGAGGCCTCCCTGAAGGAACATTCATTCACCCTGACTGGTGATCGGCCATAATGAAATGTAAGTAGTTTGGTTTCTGAGGCATTGAATGTAAAAAGCCAGTCCCCTTTGAGATGTTAGATCTTGATTCGATGTGAGATCAGATTACAATCACTATTGCAATGTTATAACTATTAACGTCCTGGGACAATAACTCCTCCTCCTCCTTTTTTTTCACGAGTTCTCTAACATTAAATGTCCTGATGTAAAATATAAACATGCAACTGGAGGCATTTGTAATTTTTTTAAATACAAAATTGCTAATTTTTACCGCTTGACAAATGGAAGAATTACTGTCCTCTCCATCAAAATTTAAACAAAATCGTCGGTTAGAATTGTGCATTGATAGAAAACGCAATAAAGTGTAGAGACGCCAAATTTTAAATTTGAAAATTTTCTGGCTACAGACCTGTTTGTAACGAAAAGCTCAACCTGTTTCATTTAGTCTTCCAACGCTTTTGCTTTTGGTTTTGTCTGCTATTGCAATGTTGGAGATTTAAAAATGATGCTCCACGCTCGGATACTGAAAGCAAAGAAATCAACATTTTAAATTACTTAACGTTATCTGATGAGGAAAATAACCAATATAGTCAAAATATTCCAATTTGCACCAAGCTGATTATACGCAAAACGTCTTAATAAAGGCAACAAAAATTTACATTTATATATATATATATATATATATATATATATAGTTTTAAGGTGTGGTATGTTTATGGGATAAAGTGCTCAATATCAGACATAGAGCGTATGTAAATATAAAAGTGAACATTGAGGTCAGCACTCCGAAGCGACAGGCTAGACGCAGTAGTCAGACCAGATTCCGTTTAGCTTGAAACAGCCTGTCGCCTCTGAGTGTTGACTTCAATGTTCACTTTTACCCACAAACACATACATACACATGTGTGTGTGTGTATATATACATATATATATATATATATATATATATATATATATATTTGTGTGTGTGCATGTGTGTATATATGACGATTGCGTCTAGCATGAAACAGCCTGTCGCCTCTGAGTGTTGAATTCAATGTTCACTTTTATATTTATATTTACATACGCTCGATCTCTGATATTGAGCATTTTTCTCCCATAAATATAGCACACTCTAAAACTATATTTCTTCATATATATATATATATATATATATATATATATATATATATATATATATATATATATATATCCACACACACACACACATATATATATATATATATATATATATATATATTAAAAGAAGAGGGGTGCCGCAAACATTTTTGGTTGTAATGTGGATTTATTGAAAATTATTTCTAGAAAGAAAATTCGGATTGCCAACACACAAACAGAATGTCTCATATCGAGAATATTCCACATTGAACATGAAAAAATTAATTATTTTTTAATAATATGTAAAAATCTCCACTTTCACCTGAAGACGGTTGCGAGACCAGACCAGAAACACGTGTCGTGAAATTATAAAAAACAAAGTATAATATTTTTTCTCAATAAATCCACATTACAACCAAAAACGTTTGCAGCACCCCTCTTCTTTTTAATATACATACTTTTCTCTCGTTTGAACCACTACAGCATATTTCTTTTTATATATATATATATATATATATATATATATATATATATATATATATATATATATATATATATATATATATATACACACATATATATATATATATATATATATATATATATATATATATATATAATATTACATTAGAAACCATTTCAACTGTAATATATATATATATATATATATATATATATATTATACAGTTGAAATGGCTCTAATGTAACAGTAAGTTCTCTGCTAATAGTTTCTTCTATTGCCTTTCTCGCTTGAGGAACACTCTTCCGTCTCCATGCTTTCCCGTTAAATTTCATCTTCAGTCATTTAAATGCAATGCCATCCATTATTTTTCGCCTTCTTAATCCCTTTTCTTTTTTGTTCATTCTCCTTAATAACGTTTTTTCTCATATTCTCTACCCACTCAGTTTTCCCTTGCGCCTTAGTGGCTTTAATGCCTTGCTTGGTGTGAAATTATTAAAATATACATATAAATAGATAAATAGTCAGTCATGAACTTGAAACTGTGGCATCGAATTTCGTCATTAATGCCCCCTTTTAAATTTACCTCCACCAATCAAACTGACTGAAAGAGTGGCAGTTTTTTTCTAGTTTTATTATTATTATTATTATTATTATTATTATGATTAACAATTACAGTGAAACTTTAAGGCCAGGTTGTCGGGGTTTAAAAACAGAACATCTCAGTGGTATTTATTTTCTTACTGAGACCATTTTCTTCTTTTCACAAGTAAAATCCTTGATATCAACGTATTTGGGGGAAAAAATCTGATTTATTCTTTAACATGAACAATTGCAGTCTTTTTGTTACCATAGAAACATGTGAGGAATACCCATTTATTTATATACCTTTCTTCAAAAAGGTCGGGTGTTGACAACTGGACATTTGAATAACAGCGGAAACTAGTCATTTAAACAACTCGAATCTGTCTCCAGTTCCCGGTCACTTGGTCAAACCCCTTAGTTAAGGTCTTTGCCAGGCCGGAAGGTTACCCTCATTATATATATATATATATATATATATATATATATATATATATATATATATATATATATATATATATATATATATATATATATATATAATGGGTTACTTACATGTCAATAAAAGAGTTTAGCCATTTCTATGTTAATTTTTATCTATTACAATTTTTTTCAACTTCAAGACTAACCACTTAAAAACGCCACTTTTCCTTGGTTTGAAAGATGATAAGCTCTCGTTTAGTCTGTAGATTGACCTGAAAATGGAGTTCTTTTGCTATGGAAGGACAATATTTCACGGTCTGCTAAGTTCCTGTTGAAGGCAATCAATTCAGAATACAAAATATTCCGAAGTCGTGTTGGTGAGGCTCGTTATCCTATGTTAAAGAACACCTAAAAGATGGTATATCAAGAGATTCGTGCTCATCTTTTTCTTCTGTGTGCTATGTCCCTTCAGGATGTGACAGATCATGGCCCTCCACATCATCTCTCTTCTTATTCCTTGTTCTCTCAATTACAATTTTTCACATCCATTTGAACAACCACGTTAGACAGGTTACAAAATCTTTTTTCCTTGTCCCTTCAAAACGTGGACGATTATGGTTCTCCCCAGTTTCCTATTTTCTGTAGCTTTAAGTAATATTTTTCTCTTTCTTATCCATTCTAGTTCCGGTTCTGTTATCCATTTCCTTCGTTAATTAGGTTGCTTGATATTTCCTTCGTTCATGTGAGTGCCTGATTCGCCAAACCTTCTTTCCTCATTATGTGTCTTTCTAAGAACAAATGTTATTTCTATTCCCATTTACCTTAAATCGTCCTCGCTGCTCACATATTCTGTTCATGGTATTCTCAGCATCCTTCTGTAGAACCACATTTCTGTTGCCTCAAGTCACCACTTAATCTGCAAGAAGATTGCCCAGAATTCATCAGTACACAACTTTTATTAGGGGAAAACCCTCTGCATGCGGAATGAAAATGGATTCAATAAATTCACAAAAATAGAAAAGGACGTAAGTCAAGGATACTCCCCATTTTTTTTCTTTTTGTCTCCTTAAAATTACCTTGTATTTACACGTAGAATCTAATGATGATGATGAAGAAACACTTGCGATTTAAAACAAGGTCTGAAAACGTGCCATATTTGTAATTCTTTGCCACATACTTGTAAAATCCATCGTCGAAGTAACGCTATCTTAAGAATGAGACGTTTGGAATTCGACGTGATAAAATTGGAGCTTTTTGTAAAAAATTCGGGAAATATTTCAATTTTGTGCGATTGATTAATTTATTTGTTTTTTACGGTTTATCAACCTTTTTACTGGTTATTTAAAGCCAGAAAATATTTTTCCATTGTAAGAATTTCTTTTTTTGAGATAACTTACTGAAAAATACTATTAATTAACCCATACCCGAAGGGAGTGTAATTGCGCGTTAGTGAATATGTATCCGGTGTTCTTGCTATATATTTAGAGATCCTTGATAAAATCCAAAGAAGAATCTGCAATGTCACTGATGAAGACCTAACATCTCGGCTTCTGTCATATTCCCACCGGCGTAATGTGTATTGAAACTTGACTAATGCATGGAATAATAATGCAACACAAAATGTACTTAGAACAAAATGTATTGAAACAAGAAAGTGTACACAATATTTACATATAGTCTTTTGTATATTCCCGGTAAGACCGTTCCTGGAGAATGTGTTGACTGAGTCGCAGTCGGGCAGAGTCTCTGGTTGAATCTCTTGATTCCCCTCTCTCTTCCCGGTACCAACCATATTTATATGGTCGGTACTCCACTATGCAAATTAGGTGGATCCTACCACAACAATGTGGCTTCCCTGTGCCTTTTTAATAAATCTTTTCATGGTAATTGTTCTGATTAACTTTCCTCTATAATACCGCGACTCTGTGTATTTAACTCAGTACTAGATCTCATTATTTTACAGTTGTAACCGTAAGTTCTATGCTAACAGTTTCTTCCATCGCACTTCTCACTTGTGGAACACTCTTACGGCTTCTTGCTTTCCAAACAACTTTGGTCTTCAAAACCTTTAAATGTAATGTCAATAGCTATCTCTTGTTTTCTTAATTCCTTTTCTTTTATTGAACTTTTCCCTTAACAATGCTTTTTTATTCTTTTGTTATTTCACACTGAGTCTTTGTGGCTTTGATGCCTTTCTTAGGGTAAACGATCAAATATGTAATATATATATATATATATATATATATATATATATATATATATATATATATACATAAACAAGATAAACTCTCAAACAAGGACAGCAATAAGACAAAAAAAGATCTAAATGCAAACACCAACCTACGCAGTAAAGAAAAGTGCTCAAAGCCGAGATTAACTTGAGCAACAATATATATATATATATATATATATATATATATATATATATATGTGTGTGTGTGTGTGTGTGTATATATATATATATATATATATAGAGAGAGAGAGACATAGAGAATGAGAGATATATAGATATATATATATATAAAATATATAGAAAGAGAATGAGATATATACAAACATATATATATATATATATATATATATATATATATATATAATATACAATTGTTTTATATATATATATATATATATATATATATATATATATATATATATATATATATATATATATATATATATATATATATATATATATATATATATATATATATATATATATATATATATATGCAGTTTCATGGATAGTAGTTTGAAAGTCCGAATTTCATTCTTTCACGATCTTCAGAGAACAAAAGAAAACTCTTGTTACATTTTTAACCTAAATTGAATATTGAACAATATAAAATGCAATCTTCAGGCCATGTTTAAATACAGAACAATTTAAACATGGCCTGAAGATTGCATTTAAGCATAAAAGAGACTGTCGCCATTCGGTGCTGGCCTCAATGTCCACTCTCTCTCAATCATACTCCCTCTCTGTCTCATACGCGCACACGCGCGCGCGCACACACACATACACATATATATGTGTATGTGTGTGTAAAGATACAGTTAGCCTGATGTATGTTTAAGAGCATTCTTTAATTTAAAAATTCTAAAATTTAACGACATTTTATTTTTGTTTATAAATTTGTCAGTTAAGTTCCATAGATGACATGTTTGGGTGATCATGTCGTTTTCTATGCACGACTGACTACGTAAAAGATTTAACCCGCATTAGTATGCCGTTTCTTTCTGCGAGAGAGTTGTTGCCAACCAATGCTATAGGACTCAGTCTATCCTGCTATTCAACACATAGTTGGGGGATAATAAATGGATTCATACCTTTCCCAAAGGAATTTGCGTGTAAGTGAATGTAATGAACCCGACGGGAATTCGAACTCGAAAATACTTGCTGCAAAATAAAAGCCTTCCATTTGTCTCCATAGAGTTCAATAGGGGACGAAACGCTTGAGCTATGAGAAGTTTTCCTTTTGTCTTTATTTACACATACACACCTCAGTTTTTTTCTTATCTATCTATCTATCTATCTATCTATCTATCTATCTATCTATCTATCTATCTATCTATCTATCTCAGTCTCTTCCATATCTATCTATCTATCTATCTATTGCCTGTGTTTTATGTGTGTGTACGCTTAGATGTTTACAGAGATTGAAGTACGTGCAAGTGCACGGAAAGAAAATACGTGTAAACGAACGCACACGAGCGAGCACGTATCGTGTGTTAGAAACTTTGTGTCAGCGTCGACCATTTTTTCCCCAACTGACCCTCAGTAATATCTCCACTTCCTGTTTTTGGCTTCCTGCTAAAAATACCAACAGCCAACTGGAAATAGATTCTTACGAAAAAGTGGTCACTCTCAGAAAATGGGCAGCGAAACGAATTAAGAAAAAAATTAGTTGAATTGCGTTCTTAAGTGACAACTGTTCAGTTCCTTCGGGTTGATTGTGTCCTTGTTGTGTCCTTAGAAACTGATACTGAAAAAGTTCACTTACAAGGTGACTGGAGGGCGAAGCCTACTGAAGTAGTATTTGTCAATCTGGTATATATAGTCTCAATCTGTATATATGCATGTGTGTGCGTACTTATGGGTGTGGTGCCTGGTTGTATAGAAGCAGGGGACGTGGGTGATAGGGAAGTACACACGTACGCACATATCCTGGTGAATATCTACAACACACACGCACGTACAAAATCCAAAGAAGAATCAGCAATATTATTGGTCCTGACCTGACATCTCGGCTTCAGCCACTTTGCCATCGACGTAATTTAGCTTCCCTCTGCTTTTTCTATAAATACTTACATGGAAACTGTTAGGATAAACTTTCCTGGATTTAAGCGCAGTACTAAATTGGCGGATAGGTTCCATCATTTTACAGTTGAAATGGCTAGTTGAAACCGTAATTTCTATTCTAACATTTTTTTCTATCGCACTTCCCGCTTGTGGAACTCATTTTTTCTCCCCTGAATCTATCTTATATATTTATAAGTCTACCATTCGCCCATGCTTTAAATAATGATGCCACATATGGTCCGGTGCTACTGCTATATATTTAGAGATTCTTAATAAAATCAAAAGAATCAGCAATATTATTGGTCCTAACCTGGCATTTAGGTTTAAGTCAGTTTCTCACCGGCGTAATGTAGCTACCCTGTGCCTTTTTTTTATAAATAAATCCATGATAATTTTTCTGATGAACTTTCCACTGTGGTACCTAGATTTTATGAATTACTAGATTGGCGCCAATACTTCATCATTTTACAGTTGAATTGGTTAGATGCAACCGTAAGTTCTATGCTAACATTTTCTTCTCTTGCATTTCTCGCTTGTGGAAATCTCTTCTGGTTCCATGCTTTCCAGCCAATTTTGATCTTCAAAAATTCTCGTTCCTTTAAGAAAAAAAAAAAAGAGAAACATTATTAAGTTACTTGTTACTTGTAAGCTTTACTGTCTTATATGACATAATCAGATAATGATTAAAAATGTACATGGATTTTTCAGTATATACTTATATTTAGATGAGAAATATACGATTTTAGAACGTTATTAAATAATTAAAATGATATTTAGGATTAGTTAAAATATAAGAGTTTATTAGAGGGGATCTAAAGAAATTGCAAAAAAAAATAGTATGAACACCGCCCAGACTTCCCAATACACACAGAGAGACTAATCAAAGCTAATCACCCAGACAACGTGATTAGAGACAGCAAAGACAAAATGTGCCTCCTTATTGACATGGCATTTCCTGCAGACTGCAATGTATCTTTGAAGATCTTCCAAAAAAAAAACTATCAAAATACAAGGACCTTGAAATAGAAATCTCAAGAAATGTGGCACATGGGAACATCAACAATCTCGAATTGGTTGGAAAATATTCCAGTAGACTCATTGAAGGGATTCCTGCGAGCCCATGACTTAAAGAAATACAAAAAATGTTCTCACGAGTACAGCCCATACTTTACGAAGAGACTAGGATAGATAGATAGATAGATAGATAGATATGTTTTTGCTGGTATGTGACATAGTCATTGCAACGCTTTTTAAAAATCTACTTTCATTTTCGCTTTCGTTTTTATGATGTATGAACAGACATTGCATACATTTCTACTTCTTTTTTTAATCTTCTGCTATTCTTTTCTTTTTCTTTGAAATTCTCTCTTAAGTGTCGCCTCTTCTTTTGCTGTATTTGATTCTCTGGCGTGAAATGATTGGCAGTTGGCTGTATAGGGACCGATAACTGCAACAAAGCTGTTAATCTTATCACAAAGATGGTAAAAATAAACCAGAATTGTCAGGAATACAAAAAAAAATGAGATCAAAATGAATGCTTGACGCGCTTGTCTGTAATGTCACTGTGATGACGGAAAAATAAGAAATATATTCTCTGAATATCTTTAGTAAAACTACCATTGTTACTTTTCTTCTTAATAAATCAAATATCGTTGGAATTTGATGATCAGTCTTATTTCTCTTAAACAACTGAAAATGGCTATGTTTCTACATATGCATCTCTCTTGGTTTTCGGATAGGTAGATGTGAACACGCCATTACACAAACATGCACGCACGCATGCGCGCGCAGACACACACACACACACATATATATATATATATATATATATATATATATATATATATATATATATCATCTCCTCTGCAATCGCTCTCTCACAGACGTGCCGTCGCCTCCCTCTGTCTTTTTTACAAACACTTTCATGGTAACTGCTCCAATGAGCTGCTTTCGTTGGTTCCCAAACTTCATGAATTTATGCGTTCTCCTAGGCTGGCATCTCGCTCAAACCCTTTCACTGTCGAAACTGTTAAATGTAGCCGTCTCTTCTACTCCAATAGCTTCATGTCTCGCACTTCTCGCCTGTGGAACTCCCTCCCCTCTTCCTGTTTCCCTGATAGCTATGATCTCAAACTATTCAAATGTAATGTCAGTCGACGTCCCCAGATGCCCTGGCCTATCTCCTTATCCATCTCTTCATCCTTTCCTCTATCACTCCTATTTGCTTTAGCTCCAACTCTCTGTAACCCCTTGCATGCTAGTGGCTTCCCGTCTTGCTTGGGGGTGATACGCTTATAAAAAAATGTATGTATATATTAGTTGTTTGTATAAATGTTACTAAACTGACTCAGTCCTAATATATTACTAGCTGACCAAGAATTGGAGATTTCGCTTGCATTTCTTTTTGGGGAGATTGATAATTTTATAGCACCTCCTCCTATATATATATATATATATATATATATATATATATATATATATAGAGAGAGAGAGAGAGAGAGAGAGAGAGATAGATAGATAGAATAGGAATAGATAGATGAAATAAGATGATATGCACACATATATAAACACACATATAGATAGATTTGATAAAAAATCCATCCCTTTATTTACACACACACACACACACATATATATATATTGAGAGAGAGAGAGGGAGATAGATATATAGATAGAAAGATATGAACAGAATGAGATAGATAGATAGATAGATAGATAGATAGATAGATAGATAGATAGATAGATAGATTTAGTCTGAGGTATACTTATTTACTATACGGCGTATGGAAAACAAAATCAGCCTTACTACTTGGACAAGTGAGTTTTTAATTCTCATTGAGAGCTCTAAAACTGAAGCCCCGTGCCAGAATAGGTTGAATTGGGTGAATACTGATAGAAATCTTTTACTAGGTTGAGCTTAATTTTGCAACGGATCAAGTCAGAACAAAAATACTGTGTTGCGCCATTCTTCAAATCCATAGCCTATCATGACAACTAGTATTCTATGTTTTTCAATATTATTATTATTATTATTATTATTTAATCTTGTTTGAATCCGGACCCCACATGTGTTATCAACCGCATACGACCCATTAACTTATGATTTCAGTACTTAACGTGCTTTGGTGCGACAAAAACGGTGTGGGGTGAATGAATCCCAGGAACCACCCCCAAGGATTTATAACATTTGATAATCAAATCAAAAGCCTAATTTGAGGATGCGATTTGAACTTTGAACTGATAGAAAAATGTCGACCAAATCTATCGAAACCAGATTTGTATTTTAGTCAAAAAATCAACGATTAAAAGTGAAAGTTTGTTTATTTTGCTCCGATATTAACTAAAGAAAATTTGTAGAATTGGAAAGATTTATCATATTGTCGATTGATTTCCATTTCAGGATTAGGGTGAGTGTGTGTTTTTCATCCATTACTTGACAGCTCTTCTTTTCACTGTTTACAATGGGCCCAAATGAAGCGAAGAAAATCTCATCCCTTCTGTATGGTGGTGGTTTTCTAAGGACAGCTTAGATGTGGCGTAAGGCCGAAAGTATGAGACGCCCAGTGAGGATGGAACTGTTTTGCATATCATGTAACTGATACGATACATGTAGATTTAAATTTGAAATGTAAAAGAAAACAGAAAAAAAAAACGATCTTTTGAGACTTTATGCACAATTTTAAATCTGATGTGCAACAGCTTATCCTAAAATTAAAACAATACAAATCTTAATGCTTAATACCAAAATCCTATGTATCACTTCTTACAAGGACAGACTCAAAATACTTGACGTAATTATTGAAATTTATTGTAAATTAATACAATTATGGCACAAGGCCGAACAGGGGGAATGGGTTGGGGCTAGTCTTCGCTAACTATCTTATACCTACCCAATCGGATTAACGACCCATTCACCCGTTATAATTTCCTCATTCACCATAAAAAACTCATCCGTCGTCAATCAATCCTCCATACACCATAATACCACATCTTCTCAGGGGAGTGAGAGCTTAAAAAATCACAATGAGATGATAAATATTATTTATAATATATATATATATATATATATATATATATATATATATATATATATATATTGATGTAATTATTATACAAAGAAATAGCCTGCCTTGAATAAAACAAATTTCACTACAGAGAATAGTATTTTAAAGTGTCTATGAAAGGTTGATGTTTATAGAATATTTTATTTCTTCGTATTCTCGTGCAGTCCCGATCATTGAAGGTGTTCAGTGCGCGAATCTCACACGTGTCAGCGTTCTTTTGGTCTTACCAACAGTTACTTGCAATTAAACTCCTGTAGACATCTACCTTAAAACATGAACTAATCTTTTCTTCAAAGA